CGATATGGGTCAGAGGGGAGTGAGCGAATAAATGGTATATGATAGAAGAGTATGGAATGAGAAAACATATTGCGCCGACCCCAGGTGACTGGGAGAAGGGCAGGATAATGATGATTATAGGATAACTCCATGTACGTATTTTGCCTACACTCCACTATGTTGCATTCCTTCTCGACGTTAGAGCTCACTAAAATATTTGTTTCAAGAAAATTCCTGCAAATGTTTTGAATAAAATGTTTGCTATTAAATATGCCTCAATGTGAAAGTTTTATTTTGCAGTTTATGGTATAATTATGTAGATAGTTTTTTTAAGTTTTCACGAGTTTTGCATAATGTTTATTAGAAGCACTAGTCCATCTGTATGTGTGTGTGTGTGTTTTTATCCTACCTATTGATAGTAGCCTTGAAGTCGTCGTCGCCTTAAGGATAAGACGTCCGGTGCACCCATCCGCTCATGTTTGAACGAGCTCACGGCCCACCTGGTGTTAAGTGGTAACCGGAGCCAATAGACATCTGCAACGTAAATGCCGCCACCCACTTCGAGACATGAGTTGTAAGGTTTCAGTTTTTACAGTACAACGGCTGCTCCACCCTTCAAACCGAAACTTACTGCTTACGTCAAAAATAGGTGGGGTGATGGTGCCTAGCCGTGCGGACTCATAAGATGTCCTACCACCAAAAGGTACTAAGGGTTACACCGGACAATGGGCAGCTGCGTTCTCTTAGTATTATTGCCGACCGGCTTTTACTAGTGGTAGGTCGTATTGTAATCCCGGTCGGGTGGATATCATCATCCTGCCTATTTCTATTGCGAAGCATTCCGACTGCCGAGTTCTGATTTGAAGGACTGCAATTACACAGTACGATCGAGAATTCGCCTTATGTCTAAAGGCTGGTAATTTGGACTTTTTGGCGGGAGCGCGAGGTGTGAAGTTATTGTTGATTTGTTTTATTTTGTCTATTTAGTGTTTCTTCAGGCTTAACTGTGTATTAATGGTGGTTTATTATCTGTTTAATATCTGTGAAAGTGCACAAATGTGGGAAAATGAAACAAAGCCATTGAAGTCCATTGAAGTCCGTGAAAGTCAATTGAAAAAATCTCAGTAAATTACCGCCATTTTACTAAGATCCATCATATCATCCCATATTATAACATCTTATTTCATTTAATTTCATCCCAGTTGACTAATGTCTCAAATTAATCATGTTCATTTTATTTCACTCCATTTTATCATTTTTCATAAAAATAAGAATATTAATTCAAATAAGACGTGACCTAAAGGTTTTAGTTACCGGGTCATAAAATCCCTTATAAATAGTTTATATATATAAATTACAAATAGTCCATTGTAATTAATTTCATTCATATTTTTGATATTTATGGTCTCCGGTATTCAATCAAAACAATATCCAGGTCCGTCTCTGACCCAGGTCTTCCTCCTTGCGTCGATAATCCTCAATGCTGAGGATGCTCAATGTCGTGGCCTCCTTTAACAACTTTCTCCTGGATTATTCTGCGCCATTCCTGCCTATTCTCTACTGTGGATAGCAACGTGGACTGAAGTATTGAGGGAGCGTATCTGGTCTAACCAGCGTATTGGACTTCTGCCTCTGGGTCTTCTTCCGCATACCTTGTCTGTTACCAGCAGCTTTTCCAAATTGTCACCTCTCTTTCTGGCGATATGTCCAAAGAACCCGAAACTCCTCCGCGCGCATGTAGTAGTGAGGCGCATCGGAATGTTGAGCTGACCCAGGTATTCTTAATATGATGTACTGATTAGAGGCTACCTTTGCATTTCTCATTTTGTGTCTAAAGTTAATTCTTATATGTTAAATTTTATCATAGATGATTATATTGAATTTGAATTTGAATAAAGATTGTCTATATCCCATAAAGAAATGGTGAGTGTAAGTTATTACATTAGTATTATATAGTATTGTATAACTTTCTTGAAAATATTCATAGCATTTTTGAGGCCGCAGCATGTTGGCAACCCAACAAATTGGTATAAAACCTTTTTTAATGTTGTGGTTGTGGTTTTTGACATTACTTTTGAATTTTGGAATGTCTTAGATTTGTCATTCTCTTTTTTCCGTGCTATTGTACGCGAATTATAAAGGGAAAATGCCCATTGCAGTATGGAATTTGGTTTCAAGTTGTGCTCTCATGTAACTTACCTCATTTTGTAGGGTTTAATATGTTTATTCATTTAAAAAAAAATATATATCTCTAGTTCGCCGGAGTTTCTAGTAAAAGACCAATGAAGTTTATAGAATTAGGTTATTTTTTGTACAAGACAGCAGTGGATATTTTTTGATTATGCTGAGTTCTTACATACTTAAAAACATACGCATAAAGTATTTTATTAATGAAAACATGTTTATAGTATAAACTTATTAACCTCGCATAGTATTGTGTAGCAGGGGCCACTACGTCCATTCGATAAGTGAGTCGTCTATTATCAAAGGTGGCAATCTGTGCATTTGGACAAAAAAAAATTATTGATATGTCAATACAGATTGATTTGAATATAATCGTCTCCTTCAAAGAATACGGTTCAAAACCTGCATTAAATAAAGGTTAATACTTAACCTGTCATTTATCTAAGATGTCGTTCAAAAGAGTTTTGTGACTGCCAATGGAATACAAAGTCAATAATTCGTTTTTCTGATTTACCAATAATTGTCCAAAAGTCACATTGCCGGCTTTGATAATAGTCGACTCAAGTAAAGGTACTATTACGGTAATTCAAAATTAAACAAAACAATAGACATAAAATAATTTATTTCTCATATTATGCCGATGTATCATTATACCTGCCCCAGCCCAGCCTAACATGGACACAACAACCCACAGTTCGATTGCCAACGAGATAGCTGTAGTAATAACTAGAGATTGTATTAATAGTATTAGCAACTTTTTCATCACGATTAATTAATATGTACGTATAATACATAAATTAATTCTGCCCCCAATATGCCTGGACTTCTGTCTAACAAAATAACGAATATTATGACCGAACAACACACGAATTAAAACTCAATCGGAAACATGAGAAACGACGCTAGTAAATCAAAATATTATTGTTATTTAAGTAGGCTCTTGTCAAATGTCAGTAGTAGTAGTAGTAGTAGTTGTATTTTTCCAACTGGAAAGGCAAAAGTATCATACCACACAACCTAATAGTTTATATTTTTTTTGTGAAATATGTTAATACGAAGTGAAATTAAATGAAAAGAATTTGGAACATTAATCAATTGGCATAAAATTAAATTAGTCAATTCAATTAGCAAAATATTAGTCATTTACAATTTAGAAATCTAAACATAATGTAACTGTCAACACTGAGGTTCGAGATTGACATTTGACAGACTTTTTCGCGGGAACGCGAGGAGCGAAGCTGTGTGAATTGTTTTATTTTGTCTATTTAATGTTTCTTCAGGTTGAAACGTGTAATGACGGTGGTTTATTAACTGTTTAGTATCTATGAAAGTGCACAAATGTGGGAAAATTAAACAAAGCCGCTGGACATAACTTCTTGGAATCCTTCAAAAAGTCCACTGAAAAAGTTTCAGTAAATAACCACCATTTTACTGAGATTATATTTCATCCCATATCATCTCATCTCATTTCATTTCATTTCACTCCATAATATCATATTTTTTTAAAGATTAGGCTGATATTATTATCTTTGCCTTTTCATTGGGAAAATTAAACTACTTCTAGGTTAGAAGTTTTTAAGTTACTAATTATTTTAATCTTCTATACCCGGCGAAGTTATAACTTAATACTTTTGAGGAAATTGTTAAAAATAAAAACTTAATTTTTAATCTATATTTGATCGTAGCACAGCACGAAGCCACGAATGGTCAATCTCCTTTCTAAAAATAGAAATTTTATACGTGCAATCCTCGCGGGTTTATTTATCAAGTTCCTTGCCCATCCTAACCCTACAGTCCACTACAGTCTAAGTTAATTTATTTTATGAGCCTTTCATACTACATGCATTACGCATACAACGTTTTTGCCAGTAAATTTCCCAATATCCAACATCCCTTGATGTGAAACACCCTCCCTAATTTAGGCTCTACGAAAGGGAACAAGGGATCTTTGATTATTGCAGAGATAATTAAATTTGGGAGTTCTTATTTAGCCGCCACTTATGTGCCTCGCTTTATTGCTTTCGTTCATTGCAGGAAATTGGAGAAAACATTGCTGGTAGGTGTTTAATAGGTATTTTTTATTTTGTTTTTTTTGGACATAAAAATTTATTTTATTATTGTACACTTCAGTTTATAGATTGTCAAGTTACGTGACTCGACAATAAATGGAAGTTGTACTATGGTGCGAGAAATAATATAATTTTGAATAATTCTGTTGAGATAGCCTAACAATTACAAAACCAAACAATTAAATGTGTTAATGATAGTGTTTTTGTGAATATTTTTTTAAATAAACTCTAAATTAATATTTGAATTAACAATGTGTTAATTATTCAAGACCACATATACAAACACTTCTATCTATGCAAAATTTTCAATAATTTGTAGTAAAGTTAAAATTTTAAGTAGACATTTGCACCAGATACTAGTTGGGGCGTGACTATTGAATACATTAGAAAACGATGTTTAAGTGTTAGGAGATGGCGGGATACGACAAAGAAAAGATCTTTCACTGAGCGGGTGATATTGCTCGATAAACAGACGATCCGAATGTAGTTGTTCGGAACTTGTATTTATGCAAGTGTACCTTAAAAATGTCGTAAGCGAGATTCGGGCTTCTGTCAAATATTTTTTTTTCTGTGATAGCTACCATCACAAAGAGACTATAATTATTGTATTCTAATGGAATACCTAAGGTAACCGAACGTTTTTTGGGGAAGGCTTTTTTATTGCGCAACAAATGTCGTACCGGGAGCTTTCAAAATAGATTTTTAAGGAGCGGAAACGAAAATAAAAGCTTCTATGTGATTTTATTCATAAGAAGACATTATTCTTTATTTTCAAAATGATATCTCATTTTATAGTTTATAATTCAGTCACATTCACAATCAACTTGACATGTTCCTTCAGGAATTATTTCGTCAGGTATGGTAATATATTCGGTGGAGAGTGATTCGAAGGCTGGACTTCCTCCGACCACGTCCCAAGATGTCCCCGAATCGGCATTTTTGAAGACCTCAACAGCTCTTATGCCAACTTCATCAGCGCTTTGCCATACTTGATTACTCCTGTATCTGTCAAAAGCATCCTCCTGCTCATCCGAAACAATTTTCGTGAATACCAATGGAGTTAACGTGAAACTTGGGCATAAAGCCACGACCCTCACACCAGTTGATTTATAATTATATGCATGGCCAAATGATTTAGAGAACCCGACTACGCCATATTTCGATGCTATGTAGGCCGGGAAAAATGGTGCCACCCAATGTCCAGTCACTGAAGCCACATTAATAATAGTACCGCCGTGCCCGCACTTATCCAATCTTGTGTGTTCGGAGAATTTCATGGACCATTCGATCAAGGCTATTGTGTTAGTGGTAATGGTGTTTCTTGGATTATCCACGTCGATTACGGCAGCGTTGTTAACTAGCACGTCAATATTCTGGATGTATTCAACTAGTCGATCCCAAACAAATAGGTCTGTCGTAATGTCACACTCAAGAAACAACGCTTTATCATTACCGTATTTGTATTTTAGATTCTCCTCAGCTTCCTTTGGTGTAGTTTTTGTCCAGTATTATAACAACACCGGCACCGTTAGCTAAAAAGTTGTCGGCGATAGCATAGCCGATTCCTTGTGCTGCTCCAGTCACGACGACAACTTTGCCTTCGATTTCGCGTTCATCAGCAGCATTTACTATTCTGTAAAGTGCTAAACCGGCCAGAACTATGTAGCGCAACATCTCTTGACTGTTTTGAGCCAACTGTTGCCATTTTGATTATAAAAATTGTCTTTATATTAATCCACATTAATACGTTCAATTTAAATAAAGAAAAGTATATATTGCTTCTATATTTGACAAACAATGCATGTGCATTCATGTGAGGCAATAGTTTATAATAGATTGACATATTTATGGCTTTCTACTTCGATCAACAAGCTTTCTACAATATTGCATGCAGCGGATAGTATTCATAAACTTGTGTGCTTGTAAGCATGCATATTATGAAGTGAGGTATGTCTCTTTAGTATTTTATAGTCATTTGAAGAATCATGACAGAAAAAAAACGTAAACCTAAAAACTGTATTTTATGAACGTTTAAAAAAAAGTCGTCCACGCCTACTCGTCTTGAGCGATGTGACTGTGCCGGTGTTTGAATCCCGCAGGCGGGTACCAATTTTTCTAATGAAATACGTACAACAAATGTTCACGATCGACTTCCATGGTAAAGGAATAATATCGTGTAAAAAAAATCAAACCCACAGAACTTATAATTTGCGTAATTAATCGCGGTAAGACGTCTTATGAGTCCGCACGGATAGGTATTACCGTTCTGCCCGTTGCTGTCGTGAAGCAGTACCTTGTGGTTTAATGGATAGGACAGCCGTTGTACTGTAATAATGTACACTTTAGAACTCATGTCTCAAGGTAAGTTGCGTCATTCACGTTATTGATTTCAATGGACTTCGGTAACTGCTTAACACCAGCTGTGAGCTTGCCCATCCATCGAGTTCATAAAAAGAAATAAAACCCAAACAAAAATTTTGAAACACTATTTCCGCTTGATCGCTCTGTGTTGAAACACACACACACACACACACACACACACACACACACACACACACACACACACACGCACACGCACACGCTAACGCATACGCACACGCACACGCACACGCACACGCACACCGATATGACGTGCACCTTTCTGAGTTCCGGCGGTCGCCGTACCTCAGAGACCAGCGTCGTTGGTCATCGACTAGCGCCTCGACGAGCCGTCGGTCGGGCGTCCTCGGGGTGGCGCCGCGTATATGGTTGTAGTGTTGACCGCGGGAACCCCCCTACTCTGACCAGGTTCTGACCCCGGACGGAGATCGGACGTCAGGTTTAAGAGCGCAGGGGAGTCGTTTAGTGCGGTAGGGCCCTAAAATTCCTTGGGCCCGCGGTCTCCTCCCAACACCTTGCAGATCGTCAAGTCCCACATACTCCGTGCGCTCCCTAGGCACGGGGACCTCGTAGGAGGTTTTCCCCCCCCGAAAGTGGGAACTTGTATATATGCGCTTTATCTTGAAAATGTTGTAAGCAGGCATCTGTCAATTATCTTGCGTTGTATGATGGCTACCCGCCACACTAGAAAGGCAACACACTAGAAACGTAAATAACGTAAAATTAAACGTAATAAGGATATGGTAGTGATGGATGCTAGGGTGTCTTGTGAGTCCACACGCGTAAGTGCCACACCCTGCCTATTTCTGCCGTGAAGCAGTAATGCGTTTCGGTTTGAAGGGTGGGGCAGCCGTTGTAACTATACTTAAGACCTTAGAACTTGTATCTCAAGGTGGGTGGCGCATTTACGTTGTGGATGTCTATGGGCTCCAGTAACCACGTAACACCAGGTGGGCTGTGAGCTCGTCCACCCATCTAAGCAATAAAAAAAAAGTACCATTGTTCTGTCTATTACTAGCGTGAAGCAACGATTCATTTCGTTTTGAAGGTTAGGGCAGCCTTTGTACTGTAAAAACTGATTGGTAGGTAGCATAGACATTGTTGATGTCTATGGGCTCCAGTAATTACTTAACACCAGGTGAGCCATTAACTTGTGGGCCTATAAGGATAAAAATAAAACAACAAATTTGCATACTTTTTAATGTGGCTAACCTTATTTTTTTAGCCCTAATCAGATTTAAATTACTACATACAACATAATTAACAGGTTTTTAGAGGAACAGGGGCAAAGTCGACGGAAGAGGCTACGAGGTAGAGGCCCGATACCTCGGACTGACCAGATCCGCATTGCTCTCGACATCACAGTCCACGATGCTCTACTCTCGGCGCTAGATAGGAACAAAGGACTAAAATAATAATTACAATTAAATTAAAATAGTTTAATAATATTATAATATAGTTTAATAATAATTATTATAATCAATTACACTATGATAGTATTGTTACGCCCGTAAGAGTGACGCCATCTATCGCCGAATAGTCGAACGAATATCGAAAGATCTAGCAGCACCTAGAACGCTCGAGAAGTACACCGTCATCTATTGTCAGATAGCGGAAACACAATACTAGATCTCGAACCTCAGCGCGTAACAGTATTATGAATTGAAATTATTATTGTAGTCCTTCGATTTATTATTATTGTAGTATTATCGAAAATTATTGTTGTTTAACTGCACTTTATGTTTGAAAACCTACATTAAGCAGTGTGTAACGCAGTTGTTTAAATCGTTCTTCATGTTTGTTGGTTTAATTAAACAATAGCACTGATATCAATCATATCGTGCAAATCCATAAATCTGCTTTTTTATAACATGTATAATTTATTTGATGAAAACCAATTGTTATGGTTAGAATAGATATTTCCAATTGTTTCAAAATAGCAAGAACAAATATGATAAGTGTGTCAAGCTACGCACAGTGAAGGAATTGCGACACTAATTCAGAGTTAGGACTATTCAAAGTAAGTGATAATGCTTAACTATTTTGGAGCACTTGTGATGACCGAAATCTCCGTATATAATTTAGATAAATAGGTCTTTATTCTCTAGATAGTGGCCATTTGAATCGTGATTCATTTATGGCTAGCAATAAATAGTAAAGTCAAATTATTTTATTATAAAAAAACATGAAAGCCTATTTTCGTATTCAGTCATTTGTTTATCGATAAATCTTTTGTTTTCATTACATTTGTACCTTTTACATCAATGTAGACGCTATACGGGTGAGCTACGTTGACCGTTAATGTTTGCAAGAAAATCAGCATTCAGCCACGTGGCGCTTGTCCTTGGGATGATGATGCAGAGGAGTCGTTTAGTGGGTAGTCCTGAAAACATCCTCGGGCCCGCGGTCTCGCAGTCGCGGACCAGTCTCATATACGGGGACCTCGTAGAAGGACCCCGGCCCAAAAATAAAAAGGCATGTTTCGCTTGTAATTAAATATTTCTTTTAGGAAGACTATCTAAAAAAATACCATGACCAGCTTAAAATTTAATCAAACAAAAATCATTTAATCACATTTCGTATTCGTGTTGTAATAAAACGTTATTTTCAATAACCCAAATAGTTCCAGTTTCGGCTTTGACGAAAATATCTACGGCAGCGTTACTGACGGCATCCACACTCTGAAACTTCATGCTCCTAACGAACTCTAAAATATGACTAGGGATATTCTTCTCAGCATCTTCATCTAAATATTTTTTAACTAAAGACGTTGTTGTAAAACCTGGACACAGAGCAATTACTCTCACACCGCTGTTATCAAAATTGAACTGATGGCCAATAGCTTTTGTAAAACCATTGAGGGCATGTTTCGAAGCTTGATATACAGGTCCGAAGTATGAGGAACGAATACCAAAAAGAGATCCCATGTTCAGAATAGTTCCGCCTTTTCCTCCATTCTCTTTGCTCATGTGTTTCCTGAATTTTAGGGTCCATTCGATCGGTGCTAAAGCGTTGACATTCATTGTTAATCTAGGGTTGTCTCTTTCAGAAATTCCAGCATTGTTTATCAAAATATCTACGTATTTATATGCGTCGATTATCTCACAATAAATCAGGTCTAAATCTGTAGTGACGTCACATTTCTTGAATATAGCTTTGTCTCCGTATTTTTCATTTAATATATTAGTTGATTTTTCTCCTTTTTCTTGTTGTGTATCTAAAATTATTACTGCTGCTACTTGGTTTTGTAAGTATTTTTCAGCAATACTAAAACCAATTCCGCATGCTCCCCCTGTTATTACGACAATTTTGTCTTTCAGTTCTCTCTCCATATTAACAAGAAACAACTGTAAATGAAGATTTTGTATAGGTATACATATTGATACTATATGACATACAGATTGATATAGGTATATGATAGAAGAGTATGGAAGGAGAAAACATTTTGCGCCGACCCCTGGTGACTGGGAGAACGGCAGGAAAATGATGATGATAAACAGATTGATAGGTGTTTTTTTTTCGACACAAAATCCTAGTTTTAGAAATACATATTTAGAAATAAACAATGTACTTATCTGCTATTCTAAGCATCATTTACTGTAATGTAATGTTAAAACTGTGACTTAGAACTTATGTCTCGAGGTGGGTGGCGGCATTTACGTCGTGGGTGTCTATGGGCTCCGGTAACTACTTAAGACTAGATGGGCCGAGAACTGGTCCACCCACTTAAGCAATAAAAAAATAATTAAAGTCTTTCTTCAAAAAATAGGTTATTTTTTATTACCACTTAAGATTTGCTGGGAGTTTTACCGCGTCTTGTGGGTCGTTGCCGGTGGGTACCAAAACCCTGCCTATTCTAGGTACGAAGCAGTAATGCATTTCAGTTTCCAGTTGGGACAGCCGTTATACTATACATAGTATACTTAAATCTTAGGTCTCACTCAAGCGGCATGGCGTAATACAAGCAATACACATTGTGATGTTTATTAAAAACTAGCGACCCGCCCTTGCTTCGCTTCGGAAACTGTAATTTATTATTGATTTCTCCACTATTTAATGGATGTTATTATACATATAAACCTTCCTCTTCAATCACTCTATCTATTAAAAAAAACCGCATCAAAATCCGTTGCGTAGTTTTAAAGATTTAGGCATACATAGGGATATAGGGACAGAGAAAGCGACTTTGTTTTATACTATGTAGTGATGTGATTCTTTCGATTTTGCTCGCTAATAATAACAAAACACATTTAAATTAGAGCTCCTGCTGCTGAAGATTTCTTGGCTATTCGATACCGCAGACGTGAGGAAGCTACACATTATGCTTTTGTACGGTTTCAAAATGAATGGTACGGTAACGTGATCTGTTTTAAGTAAGCCGGGTTATAGTTTAATACACTGTGTTGATCGCTCTCCGAAAATCGATGTCTCGTTCGCGCATTAGGGTCGATCTATGTCACCTCGGCCCTTCTCTTCTCCCCTTCTTCCTCTCAGGAGGCGCCGGAGTCCGACATAACCCGGTCCGTTACCCCCGTCGACCGGGTATCCGTAAATGGATTCCCCAGCGTTAAAAAAAAAAAAAAAAAAGGGTCGATCTATGTCAAATCGACTGATGATTGGAATCGAATAAAACAAACTGGCTAAGATCGAAAAATAAAACTTTTTAAAGTTTATAAGCTGTCAAGCGCATTGTGTGACGGCCATAGAAGGATGACTGTGAAAATCGCTGGGTCACGTTGGATACATTGTGCTTATTGCGAGTTTTTCAACGTTCTCGATAGCGTAAAAGTTAACCCAATTTTGTATGCAGTTGGAACAGCGCCCCTTGCGGCAAACGTACGCAAACGATCCCATTCCATACAAATATGAGCTGACTTTTACGCTATTGGGAACGTTAAAAAACTCGCACTAAGGACACAGGTGGCAACGGATCGGCCGCACTGGAGATCAGTTAGAGAGGCCTCTGATCAGCGATTTTTTTTTCCACAGGAGAAAATCGCATGGCAGGTGGGGTATGTGGGAGTCGAACCTCACTAAAAACTGCTGCCGCTCACAGCCGGCGCCATTCCCCGGACCGGGCGGGAACCCCGTCAGTGCTATTGAGACGGCGGGACAGGGCTTACGCAGAGCATGTTACATCAAACCCGCCGTCCCCCTGATCAGCCGTGGACAGCTATAGGCTGGGATGATGACGATGATGAGGAACCATCGTTAAGGGATGAAAGGGAACTACTGACCGAATTTCATCCAAGTCAAAAGGAATCGATTTCAACTATCGATCGATTTGACTTTGATTCGATTTGATTTTCAACGAACGAGATCATTAGCGGCCGATATATTTTATATTAAATATATTTTTTTGGTTTTAGCTAGTCTTAGACATAATTTAAAACTACTTAATTAAATTCATCGGATTAAAAACATCGGATTTAATATAATGACAATAGAAAACACGAGATTAAACCGTAAAAGTACATTTATTAGTAATATTTTATATAGTTTTTATGTTACCTTTAAAATTAACTTGTATTTTTTGAGGCACGAGTTACAAGAACAACTGCTAAACGTTCGAAGTGATAATGTGTCACTGATTATATGAGTATGTGTTTGAAGTTACTTCACAATTATTAACGATTACAAATATTTAATTTGATGTTTATCGTGGCCTTGACTCAGCTTTGTACAGAAACCCAAAAATATATGCAAAATAAATGTTTAGGCTTTTAATCTACTTTTTTATTTTTATTGCTTAGATGGGTGGACGAGCTCACAGCCCTGGTGTTAAGTGGTTACTGGAGCCCATAGACGCCACCTACCTTGAGATATAAGTTCTAAGGTCTCAAGTAAAGTTACAACGGCTGCCCCACCCTTGAAACCGACACGCATTACTGCTTCACGGCAGAAATAGATAGGGTGGTGGTACCTACCCGTGCTGACTCACAAGAGGTCCTACCACCAGTAATTACGCAAATTATAATTTTGCGGGTTTGATTTTTATTACACGATGTAATTCCTTCACCGTGGAAGTCGATCGTGAACATTTGTTGAGTACGTATTTCATTACAAAAATTGGTACCCGCCTGCGGAATTCGAACATCGGTGCATCGCTCAACACGAACGCACCGGACGTCTTATCCTTTAGGCCACGACGACTTCAAAGGTAAACAGATTCGTCTGGCTTTAATGTCCTAAACGCAGTGTCCAGGTAACCTTAGATAATGGTACCTGTAACAGTCCTGAATAAGCTTAAATAGATAAATTTAAAAAACGTCGTAGAATCATTAATACAAACTATACTTAGTAGAGTTATTTTGTCGCTGCAGTTTGGGTCATAAAACACAGCCGGGCTAGGGCGGTGAGCATGTTGCGCGGGCGCAACGCCATTATCGATAGAAACAAATGAGTCATCGAAGGCAGTCATAGTATATATATACTATGACTGCGATAATAGACTCTTCGACATATGTCGAACATATGACGACATAATAATATGTCGAAGAGTCTATTATAGTCTTTGAACAACAATCGAGATAATAACGAGAATGTTTATTTATTCTAATTATTCTTGCATTCATGCTTTATATGAGTTGATAACTGCATTTACTATTAAGTTGTTACTGAAGGTTAATAGCTATCAATAAATCTTAATAAATTTGAATTAAAAATAGTGTAAGAAAAAATGATTTTATTGTAAAAAAAAAGCGTGGTCTGCTTTTCCGGATATTATTAAAATAGCCCTTCTACTCATATGTGTAAAATATTTATAACTACTGATACCATGCACCCCACGCTTTTTTTACAATAAAATCATTTTTTCTTACACTATTTTTTATTCAAATTTATTAAGATTTATTTTCTATTTTTTAGTGGGATTTGGAACGTGCCGGCTAACAATTTTAGTTTATATTACAAACATTTATAATTTGCGTAATTACTGGTGGTAGGACCTCTTGTGAGTTCGCGCGGGTGGGTACCATCACCCTGCCTGTTTCTGTCGTAAAGCAGTAATGCGTTTCGGTTTGAAGGGTGGGGCAGCCGTTGTATTTATATTTATACTTGAGACCTTAGAACTTATATCTCAAGGTGGGTGGCGCATTTACGTTGTGGATGTCTATGGGCTCCAGTAACCACTTGAAACCAGGTGGGCTGTGAGCTCGTCCACCCATCTAAGCAATAAAAAAAAAAAACTTTAAATTATCTATAGAGATAAATTGAGTGTATTCAAAATTTTCAATGTTCTCCTAAAGTAAATATAAGAGATACTGTTTGCTCAGTTGTATTTGTATAGCAGTGTTGTTAATTATATGCTACAAATACATATTTAAATGTAATACAAAATATGTTACTTCAGTTAAATCTGAGCAATGAAGTAATACGTCCTTCGGCGCCAAAATTGTAATTAGTAAATGAATATATCTTAATCACTTGCCAGTGCGACTAAGAGCGCACATGACAAGAAGGACGAGAATGAATAATTTAGCAGACACTCGATCGTGAGCACTCGTGAACATAGTCTCTTAGTTGGAATATAGAAATTGCGAGTTAGTAGTGCGTGCCAGATAGGCGAGCATGTGTTACGTCCGCTGCGAAGAACACATACATTTTTTACTAGTAGTAGGACCTGTTTGAGTCCACACCGGTAGGTACCTCCACCCTGCCTATTTCTGCCGTGAAACAGTAATGCGTTTCGGTTTGTAGGGTTGGGCAGCCGTTGTAACTGTACTGAGACCTTGGAACTTATATCTCAAGGTAAGTGGCGAATTTTACTTTGTAGATGTCTATGGGATCCAGTAACCACTTAACACCAGGTGGGCTGTGAGCTCGTCCACCCATCTAAGTAATAAAAAAAAACATGTTGCAACGGCTCGAGGTGACTGGGAGAAAAGCAGGAGAATGATGATGATGATGATGTAGTGCAGAGCAACAAGAGCATACTGCCAATTCTTTTGTAATAAATTACTTGTAGGAAGTATTCCGGTAGTCGCGGGTTGTTAACGAATCAAGGTCGCGTCATATATTGATGGCTGTGATTGGCCAACGATGACGTCATATTGCACGAACCAATCACAAAACAGGAAACGCAATAGTGGCGCCAAATGTCAAAATTTAAAAAAAAAATATCAAACGAAGAAAACAGATGGACGCGCACGTCAATTCTATTTTCTATACTAATATTATAAAGAGGAAAGATTTGTTTGTTTGTTTGTTTCGAATAGGCTCCGAAACTACTGGACCGATTTGAAAAATTCTTTTTCCATTAGAAGCCGACATTGTCCCTGATGAACATAGGCTACTTTTTATTTTTTTTATTTTTTTGGTTTCATGTGTGTTT